TTAATCCGATTAAACAGTTAATCGTAACCGCGATTAAAAAAATTAATTTTTAGTCATTAACTCTTAATTTGATTAAGTAGGTTTGGTGATTAATTACTATATGCTGGAATTTTCCTGTGCACACAAAGCCAGTTAATCGAGTATGGCTAAGTCGGTTTTCCTCATCAATCTAAGAAATTTGGTGTGCATTTTCATTAAGATCTATACCAACATACGTTTTACAAACTAGGTTTTAATATCCCTCTGCACATGTGCGCTGGTTTATAAAAGTTTCGAGTTTATTTATTACTAATAAAAATAATTATAATTTTTATTTTATTTTGTGTGCTTTTTATAAGCGTAAAACACAAAATAATTACTACAACTGTTGTTTGTTTCCAAATTCGGACAAACTAGACAACTTAATCAGATTTTGTTTTTAATTGGATTAACAATTATGATTAAAATTAATTAATCGTAATCGCCGCCAGCGATTAACGATTAAAAAAATTTAATCATTAATCATACATTTGATTACGATTAATTAATCTTAATCGTCAATCCCGATTAACATTTTAATCGTTAATTTTTAATCGTTAATCAGGTTAGCATTTTGCCAACACTGAGTGTAATTAATCTAATTTTATTAAGATCTTAAGTTGAAAAAAAACTTTCTTTTAGAAAACTACCCTGCAGAAGTTGCAGCCTGAGAGCTGTTCTGAATGCTCCAACAATAGTCAGCCATCAAGTGTTCGTTTCAGAGGCTTTGATAGCGTTCCTCCATCGTACGAAGGTGAAAGCTATAACTCGTAAATAAGAGTATTTCTCAATAGTACTTTATTTGACGCCAATTCGACTTTTCAAACAGATGGCTATCCTGTTCAAATTAGTTTTAAACCAAAACCGCGTTACACTTTTTTCGTCTGATACTTGCATTGTGATGCATATTTAAATTATCTAGTACTCGTAATTCAAATGAACTTGGTTATAAACGCAGGGGGCAACCCTCTTACATGCAGTTTGGAAATAAAGTTTCTGCCAAACAATTTTGCTTTATATTCAGATTGAAGTAGTTTATGTAACATATATTTCTTATATTGAATCTAACTTTATAACCTTTATAGCCCTCTGAAAAATATTTTCAAACCGCAACCTCTTTCGTCTGACATCAATTGCAGGATATACATTCCCAGTGGGAATTAGGAGCACGTAATAATACCTTATTAGCAACTTACTCTTCACCTGGCAGTCATTACCATTTCCCTGCCGAACGTCCCTTACTTTTACAAAGGCATGGCCGCCTTATGTAAGTAGGAATTTAGAATGTACATTTGGTATCAGACATACTTCTGAGCCGCTTTACAAAGTAAGTTACGTGTAATGCAGAGAAGTCGCTCGGAGTAGTTCGGCGCTTAGAGATAACTTCGGCTGCACGTTACTTTGCAACTGACAACGTAATGTGTCGTTGGAGGTGTTCATTTTGTGCTTTACTAGTAGATGACATTGGCCATGATGACAATTTTGGTACTAAAAACTGAAAGAAAACATGGCTTACCTCGTAAGGTGCTTACCTATTTTCCCAGTGGGTTTCAATTTTCTACCTTTATTTAAGTCGCACTAGCTTTTTGAAACAGGTAACATATAATTAAGAAATAAAGCCTTTTCCATTTCGATCGATACTCATAGTGTAATAATTGATTTAACTTAAAAAAAAAAAAATTGAATTGAACTTTTTTATCAGGTGGCAACATTTTTGCATAATAAAAAGTTATTGCACGTCTACAGGCCAAGCCCTGTAATTTGATAACTCATTTTGTAAAATCGAATGAACAGTACAGATCTGATATGACGATACAAGTTTTCGCGTATTATGCATTCATATGTATTTACATATCGATGGCTGAGTGGAAGATCGACCTATCTCGGCAGTCAGTTCCAAGACGCTCTATCTCAAAAAACTTTTCAAGAACGCCCTATTTCAGAATTCTTTCCAAAAACGCCCTATCTCAGCTGCCGACTCAATACGCCCTATATCAGCATATTTTCAATACATTTTGAAGTGAGATAGGGCGTTCTTGAACCGAATTTTGAGATAGGGTGTTTTTCAATTAAATTCTGAAATAGGGCGTTCTTTAAAAGTTTTTTGAGATAGAGCGTTTTCGAACTGGCGGCCGAGATAGGTCGATCTTCCACTCAGCTATCGATATATACATGCATACATACATATGTACTACATACATAGATTACTAATGACGTCTTCGTTTGTACCAAGAAGAGAGCAATGAGAAGGCAACAATTTTTGTAGAAACGAAAACGCCATAAAAGAAAAACACATCCTCATGAACTGCAATCAACATATGTACGTATATATGTATGTATTTAGTACATACATACGCTGCGATTAGATTATAAATATTGCGCCATCTGTTACTCAAAAGCCGAAATACCTACATACACACTAGTATGGGCACCCTAATACACACGTATACTTTTTGTCTCCTTCTCGCATTTCCGGCGCAAGCACGTGTTTGCAAAATGATGACGAAGTGATTTTGTATGGAAAATCATTTATGCCCATATATATTTGAATAAAATAATCATATGCACTTAGAAAATATCAACCAATACCATCGTACAGTTCCATAAGTAAAGTAACTATTCTTTTTACCGTTTTTTCTGGCAGGCTGTAGTTGTGTTTGTGGTTAGTGTATTGGTGTTTTTGGTTCAGTGGGTTAGTTTATTTTGAATAAATTGTAATATAAATAAAAGAAATTGTAATAGAAATGAAAGAAATTGTAAAAGATAAGAGCAAATGCCAAGAAACAGGGGATCTCAGTTGTAGGCATTCTTTGGCAATCAGCTGATAGTGTTTTTACTTATGAAACTGTACGATTACGAAATTCCCATCAGGGATCCGAACATCTGATGAAATTTTTGTTTTCATTCAAAAATGTAAAAAGAAAAAATTCTCCATCAACCTAAAGTTCAGAACTCCGGATCACTGTAGCGTTTCCCTAGCAGAGGTAGCCGCAATATGGAGGCTTCGGATTGTTTGCTCTCGAGTGTATTACCCCTACAATGCAGGGAACACTTGACAAATTGCTGAAGGTCAAGGTACTCCCCTGACCTGACTTCTATATATATTCTAAATATTTCTTTTTAATTAATAGTTTATGTCCAAAAGCTGCAAGTTAGTTGAAATCTAATGCAGGGGGAACCAGTTCTCACTATTTTTCGGCCATCTCCCTTCAAAATTAGTAAGTTACGGCCAACGGAAATAGTTAATAAATAGTTACCACTAGACGACTGCTAGTTAGTTAATAGTTAGCTACAAACTAGTCCCATTTTCTGCAGGGTAGTTTAAAAAAGCCATCAAACCCCTAAGAATACAATTCTGAACGCATGAAAATCATTTTGTGAAGTTGTACTCTAAGCTTCCAATACAAATTAATACATCAAGGCAAGCAATAAAAGCATTCAAGTCTGTTTATAAAGTGCAAGTAACACAAAAACTTTACAAAAAAGATTGCATTCAATGCAATCGAAGTTTCAGAAAAATATTTAGCAAAATATTTAGTCTTTTCTACGGTTTATATTATTACAGCAGCTTTTTATTGATTTAAGCAAGTCTTTAGGTTTTAATAAACACAACGTCTTGTATGAAATGGAAAAAGATGAGTATGTTTTCATTCACAAACATTCACATGTCCAAGCAATTCGGCAGAATTTGGCGCAGTGCCGTATTTTGACAAAACTGTATCAAAAATGTCGATGTAGTACCAATGTACTTCTGAGATTCAAAATGTACCAAAAAAGTATAATTATACCATCAATTTCATTCCAGCTTCCCATATACCAAACGAAAAGAAAAAAATTGAATTTTTGATTAAAGTAAACAAAACCCAAATCATTCGAGAAGTTGGCGAGCATATTGGTAATACAAAAAATTTGCTAATTTTTTAAACAATTTTTCGCCCGAAAATGCTCAAAATTTGTTGAATTTATATAAAATTTGTACACGATAGCATTTCTATTGCTCCAAAGAACCTAAATCTCGAAAATGAAAGTTATATCTGCAAATAATAAGTTACTAGAGCACTTTAAAGGCTTAAAATTTATCCCAAAATAAGCCAATATTTACCGTGTTTCCTACGACGAAAAAAATTTGAGCGAAATCCGCCCAGCCGTTCTCAATTGATGAATTACTATAAATTTTTCACACCATTTTTATATGTATAGATTTTGCAGGTTTTCGCAACAACAAACTTTTAATTTAGAATTTTTAGCGATATTACAAGTTTTCGATTTAATGCATTTTTCCTATATAAAGGGTGTTCAAAAAATTTTTAAATTAAAGAAAATGTATTACACCGTCAGCAAAAAATGTTAAATTAAAGCTTAATTGAAGGCCTATCTTAAAGAAAAACGAGCTCATCTCGCTGAAAATCCTCTTGATTGGTGGGAAACTCAAAATTTGAGCGCTCTACCCGCCAGCGTTCTAAGTGAGCAATTGCTCAGTGCAGCCGGCCTTATATACGAGCCTCTAAGAAATCGCTTCATGGGAGCAAAATTACTTTTTTTGAAATATAATATGCCCCTTTTGAACTTTGACTTCTAGACTAAAACACTGTATAGGTTAAGCAGCGTTCGTTCAATGTTCCAATACTTTACAAAATTTTTAATTAATAAAAACGATGGATGGATTATTCCTCGAAAAAAATCTGAAGCCAATCGAAAGTGTGACACCAAATTGTGAAAGAATGTCTCATATCTAGACATATATGTTTTATTTTTTCGATATTTTCTGCACCCATCTCTTTTTAATCATTTTAATACGCGATTCAGACCATTTCGAATAGGTATTTTTGCATCGACGGTGAACTAATTTAGCACCTCAATGCCAATTTGACTAGACTATTAGATACTTTTCAATTTATTAATCAAATTCCAATACTTATTTAATTGTTATTCAGCTCAAGAATATATTTTCTCTCTCGCTTCCTTTTCCTTTTCGAAAGCAGTGCATAAAATGCTTTCTACAGAAACTATTGGCCTCTTGGCGGCTCTTTTGGCGATCGTATACGTCTGGTGTCGTTACACTTATGGCTACTGGAAGCGGCACAACATTCCCTTTATAAAACCATTCCCACTGATTGGCAACATTCAAGTCATGTTTACGCTCAGCAACAGTTTCTTCCTGTATCTCTCCGATGTTTACAAGGATGCTACGGTGTCGAAGGCTGCTGCAGTCGGCATTTATATTATAAACAAGCCAGCTTTAGTGCTACGCGAGCCGGAACTCATCAAATCCGTGCTAATCAAAGAATTTCAAAAGTTCTCAAATCGTTTTGGCGCTTGTGATCCACACGGCGATGCCTTAGCATCGAATAATCTATTTTTCATACGAAACCCACAATGGAAGGAGCTGAGAACGAGAATTTCACCGGTGTTCACTTCAGGAAAAATTAAGCAAATGTATGCTCTAATGACCGAGGCAAGTAAAACAAACAAATTTGTAGAGTAGACCGCATCATATAAAAATGGCCGTATACTTTTGCATCGAAAGTATTTTTGGAATGCAATTTCACAAAGGAAGAAGAAGACTGTTTATAAGATAATTTTTTAATCCAGAGTTCATCGACCTGAAATACCCCGTTCTAGTACTTACCTCAGTTCCTATCAGCCAATGGCAGGTAAGGTAAAGTAAAGCTAGAACGGGGTACTTGAGATCAATGACCATTGGAACAAAAAAAATGAGACAAAACATCGATATACATATCATACTTTAACATCGGTCTGTAAATACCCAAGATAAGACTAAAAATGTAAACAGGCAGTCCCTAAGATCGGCCATAAGAAAATTTACGAAATTGCTTTGCAAAACTACTTTATATTCGAAGGTGTACAGTCCCTTTTTTTCTATAAGCCTTTTTCTTTATACATATTTTGCTATTTTAGATTGGCTCTCAATTAGAGTCTCATTTGTTGAAACACACAAAGACTGGCAATACCTACAACACCGAAATCAAGGAGGTGTGTGCGCTCTTCACCACCGATGTGATAGCATCGATTGCCTTTGGCATACACGCGAATAGTTTGAAAAATCCAGACGGTGAATTTCGCACACAGGGTCGAAAGATTTTTGATTTTACGTTGGGTAGAGCGCTTTCATTTTTCATCGCATTCTTCTACCCAAATTGGGTTAGCACATTTAAAGTGAAACTTTTCACGCCTGAATTCTCTTCGTTTCTACGCAACACCATCAATCACGTTATGATAGAAAGAGAGAAGACTGGTGCCATACGTAACGATTTAGTTGATGTGTTGTTAGATTTGAAGAAAGAGGCGATCGCGAGAAACGAGTACAATAACGAGGCGCAGGATGTTCTAACAGCGCAGGCAGCAGTATTTTTAACGGCTGGTTTTGAGACGTCATCTTCAACGATGGCTTTTGCGCTGTACGAATTGGCCAAACATCCGGATTTACAGGAGCGGCTGCGCAATGAAATTCGCGACGCACTTGTAGCCGATCATGGCANGATAAGCCGTTTGATCTACGACCGTACTATGATTACAAAGTACCAACCGGTATGGCTGTTTATATACCAATTTTCGGCATACAACGCGATCCTAAGGTGAGTTGATCGGACTGTGAGAGCGATATATAAGGCGTTGATTGTTAAAAACTTGCTTTACAGTTATTCCTCTGCGTACTCTTTATCCGATATAAATAATTTCCCTTATATTTCCAGTACTGGCGCAACCCTGACACCTTCGATCCGGAACGATTCAGCTCTGAGAATAAAAAGCTGCACGAACCCATGGCCTACTTGCCATTTGGCACTGGTCCGCGCAATTGCATTGGTAGCCGTATAGGTTTACTACAATCCAAAATTGGTTTGGTTCACATTTTGAAAAATCATTTCGTGACTTTTTGCGATAAAACACCAGCGGAGATAACTTTTGATCCCATGTCTATAGTGTTGCAATATAAGGAAGGCATATACTTGAATGTAGTGAATGACGGCCTATACGAGCAAAATGCGAATTAGGGACGGACAACGGACGGAGGTATCGTCTTATTAAAGTTTATTATGATGGCGTATTTAATGGATAACATATAAATTGATAATAAAATTAAAGAATGAAACTCGTATACATACATATAAAAACTTTTGTACATAGTGTAAAACTTTAATATACAGCCGTATGTGATAAACGATGAACAATAAATTTCGAAACTCGAAGTGGTATTCATTTTATGATAAAAATAATTTTTTTAGAAAACCATATACTTATGTATATTTATATTGGTTACATACGATTTAAGGGATTTTTATCAATTGGTACAATGTATTTTATTGGAAGTATTGCCCATCGTTAGCTATGACTTTTCCCATTTCTCGGCCAATGTATTGATACCGCGCCAATAAAACTGCTCGTCTTTGGAGATCAAGCCAATGTTTGATACATTCAATTTAAGTGAACCGTATTCCCGTTGGGGCGTTCTTCATCGAGCGGAACAATTGGTCGTTTGATGGTCCAAGGTTTGGGCTATAAGGTGGGTGGGTTAGCACATCCCGTCCGGTATCATCGCGATAAGTTCTGACCACAGTTTGACGAGAAATACCATGGCAGAAGATGAATGACTCATGCCTGGACTTTTTCCTGCAATCACTCGCTTCAATCACATCAGCTGTTGTCTATAAGAGACCTTCATCGATCGTCTGACCACTTTTCAGAAGCTCATGTTACAGGATTCCCCTCTCGACGCACCAATGTAGAGCATAACCTTGGCACCGGGAAGTTAGCCACTCTTTAATTGCAAAATATTACTTACCTGCGGCTGTGTCGGAGCCCAAGCCGCTAAACTTAAACGTAGTACATGTACGTGATATTATTATTATTATTCAAATTAAAAACGGTACATGAATATTCGTTTTGATTGTATTGAATTGAATGTAATAAATCAATATGAATTGCCAAATATTAATAATTACTGCCCCTTTCGTCAAGGACAGTTTTGCCATGGAAGCCGAATGACTCTCCAATATGTAGGTATGCTGGGCATCTGGATCAATTATATTGAAGTTTTTTCATCACTGAAAATAAAGTTTTTCAATTCTTCCTACAACATTTGTAATTTAAGTATGTAAAATGCTGAAAACGAATTTTCGTGTAATAGAGTGGGCTGTGTGGGTTTAGCGATTTATTTCTTCACCCTAAGTACCAAAACAGTTTTTATTATTTATTCTAAACTTTTACTTGTGACAGAGAGATTCAAATGCATATAAATTTTTACGGCAACTCTGCTGTTCCTAGTAGTTAATCCTTGCATATGTCGTTAGGGCTACTCTTTTGGGGTTTGTATAGGGCCGCCAAGCTTATGATTCCAATAGTCAACGGGATTTTTAAAGGAACTTCTTATTATATTCTAATGTCTGATTACTTCAGCAGGAACTTCTTATTATATTCTAATGTCTGATTACTTCAGCAGTTAATTAGCTAAATTTCAAGCCACAAAAATTTTCTCCGGTTATATTTCCGGGCTCATATTTAGATAGTTCAGTGCCACTATGGGCCATAACATAAATAATAAAACGGTTTTTATTATGAAAATAGTTTCTATATGTTTAAGGTGTTACCACACAGTTTTCTGTTGAAAATTTTTGACACTGGAGCATTCATACATTCACATAATTCATTAATTCATAATTCATAATTCATTTTGCACATACATATAATTATTTTCTATTGAATATTATACTATTGTTTGTGGTAACGGTAGTTAAAATTATGAACGAATATCAAATTTACTATGAAAATACTTATAAACCAAAGGCTATTATTATTGCGTGCAGCAAAAAGTTTTCCCCCTTCTTTCATAGAGCGAAAATGAGGAAAAACATATTGCACATATAATTCTTTTACTGGGGTACATACATAGAATACTAATAGAAGAACTGATCCAAATTAACTGCAATCAACCAATCGACATACATACATATGTTACGATTAGGTTTTAATAGGTGCAATCGCGTATTCCTTGGACTAAAACTAGTAAAACTGTCAAAAAATAAAAATTCGCTCAGAGCGAGAGAGTAACACTGAAAGGTACGGGACCGCTTTCTAGTAAAAAATGGTAGTTTCTGTCAACTTCAAAATAACCTCCAAATTTTGGTTGTATATTTTGTATGTGAACACACTCCGCTCACACATGTAAATAACCAAAATCTCTTTCAAATTCATTAGAGTACACTTAAACAAGTAATTAAATACTTTTCAACATGAATTAGCAGAGTGCACTTTTCTTTTGTTTACAATTTGGTTGCCAAACACGCTACAGCTGATCGTTTGACACATTTACCAGAATTTACCAGCAGAAAATCTTCGGACTAAAACCGTTAACTTCTGACAGAGAGAGGACCTTATTTACTTTATTTTTGGCCTCTCAATAGTCAGAGATCCGAGTACGGGATCGATTTCCAGTAAAATCTGACTGATTCTGACTATTTCTGACTAGTATGGACTCGTATGGGATCGCAACTAATATTTCGCCATGTGTTACTCAAAAACCGAAATACCTATATATACGTACTTTCCGTCTCCTTCTTCCACTTCCAAATAATTCACGTGCCCATATATTTGAATCAAATAAACATACTTAGAAGATATCAACCAATACTTCCCATATACCAATCGAAAGGAAAAAATTTAAATGTTTGATTAAGAAAAACAAAAAGAATATCATTCGAATGGTTCCGAACATGTCGGAAGTTGCAAATTTTTTCAAAAATTGTTTGCCTTAAAATGATTTTTTATAATTATACCCGTGGGTTTCATCCCACGTTTTTATACAAATATGAAAAATAATTTAATGATGTTATATTTTATTTCTGTGCTCATTTTGTTAAAGCTCATTATTTTTTAAGCGAGTCAAGGTATTTAGGCCGTTTAAAATTATGAAATTATAAAATCTCGTCTGCGCGCTAGACATACGAAAGATAACAATCCCTCTAAGTTTATCTTAAAATGGTTCCAGAGATGCAACGCGTGAACGTGCCATGGCGGGTTCTAATATTTCCAACTCCAATTTAGTATCCTGGCTAGTGCTGCAAAAACATCGATGTTTGAAACTATCGATTTTTCGATGTTTTTGCCACTAAAACATCGATAGTATCGATACTATCGTGGTTTCTTGAGAATTTTAACTTTTTGTTTCAAGCTGAAATCCCTATCAATTAACAAACATAATTTTTTAATAAATTACAGTTATTATTTTAAAATTATCCAATAATTAATTTAAATTTTAATTTGACTTGTATTTAAGGTCACATTTAATTTATAATTATATAAAAGTATTCATAAAGCAACAACACTATTAATATGTGTTATAAATTATGTCTTATTAAATAAATTAAAGGCATTAATCCAGGGTACACTTCAGGTTTTTATGCTTAATTTTCCCAATTAGAGATCGCACTGACAAAATCAATTTGTTAGTAATAACCAGGGCTGAAGAAAATAAGCAAGAAACAAATCCTTTTTAAGCGCTTAGATAAGCACAAAAACATTGGTAAATATACTCGCAGAATAACAAAAATTAGGTACAGTTTAATGTGATTTTATTCAGTTTACTTCAAGGATTGAAAAATTACAATGGACACACTAGTGTTGCTCGATATTCTCAAATAATGGAGATCTGCGTTGGTTGGTCTTAATTTTTTTAAATATTCGTTATTCGGTATTCAATGCTGCCCATTGGTATTAAATTTTTATATCCAAGCAGAAACGAAATTAAAGTTACGGGTTAATAAAAACTAGATCTCTTTTTATATGTTATTATTTTCCTTGATACAAATATTTCAAGGTAAAACCGCTCGCTCAATTCGTCAGCCGTCATTTATTTTTTGAAGTTTGTCCACTTTATAAGATTGAAATTTTGAGAGCAACTGAAGTGAGCAATGGAAGTGAGAATGTTTTGTGAGATTGAAAATTTGAAAACATTTTTGTTATGTTAGCAAACTTCAAAAATGTTCAGGCTGTCTCGCAGCGGTTTCTTCAAATTTTTATATCATGATTATTTTCGAACATTTATTTAGTTCGACGAATAAAAAAAGCCCAAGAAATGGTCAAGAAAAATTTATAGAGCCAAATTATCTTAAGCAGTACGAAGTTATTAAGAAATTCGCAACGCTTTCTACTATGGTTTGCTAAAGTTTGTTTGTGAAGAGTACCAGGCACCCTTGTTTTCAACAGAAATATATGCCCGTTCCATTATTTCGTAAGGAAAAAGTAAGACAGCAGGCTGTAAGCTTAAACTTTTTGGCCCTGGTAATAACTTCCCTGAACACTTATTGTTAGGCTTTAGCGTTCAGAGCGTTAGAGTTGATTACGCTTTAGTTTTTAACCGACTTCCAAAAAAGGAGGAGGTTATCAGTTCGTCGGAATATTTTTTTTTTTTTTTTTTTTATGTATGTTACCGCATAACTTTGGACCACGTAAACCGATTTCGATAATTCTTTTTGCATCGGAAAGGTAGTGTCTCAGAGGTGGTCCCATACTAATCTGGTTAAGATCCGATCAGTGGATCCTGAGATATATATATATATAAATTTTTTTTTTATATGAGAGTTGAAGTCGGTTTTTTTTTGCTAAAAATTACTTGTTATACTTCTTGCCTGCCCCAAATCAGCAACGGATAAACGTTCCAATGATGGCATATCCTCTAAAAACATCGATAGTAAGAAAAACATCGATGTTTTCAAAAAAATATTTATACATCGATACTATCGATAGTGCTCCGATGTTTTTGCAGCTCTAATCTTGGCCTTGATAAAATACCACTTCTCATTACTGTATGCATGATGAGAGCTTTAGATTATATGGCCGAAGCCGACTCTCCCTTTGGCATTAAATGCATTTTTTCTGTTGGTACGGCACTTATAATAAAATAAATCTCTATAACAAATTTAAAATACTTCCAGAGATTTTCTATCCCTCCAGAGATATGTATTAAGAAAGTTTTAGTATGAATGGGAGGCGACATACCTCCTATTTTAATAACTCACATATTTTCATGAGCATTGATACATTTTGTATACACAACTCCATACCAAGTTCCAGTATTCTTCCACAAACACTTCCAGGGATATGTGGCAATTTTTTCCATGAGTTTGGAATTGATTTTACATACCCCAGTACCAAGTCCCAGTACTCTACCATGAACACCTTTAGAGATATGCAG